TCAAGGATTGAGGATTAAGTAAGTGATTTGGATGAGTCTAGAAACGTTAATGATCATACATGATGTAATGATCTTATGGGTAATGAACTACAAATCAAGCACGTTAGCATTTCATGATATCGTGGAAGCGTGGAAATGAGATAAATAGCATTGAAATATCTGTTAGTTTCCTTAAGATCTATTTAACGATGATTCCAAAGATGATCTATGGAGAATAATTTATGGTATTAATGAGTAAATACCCTGGAAGGACAATGAATTGACCAGTCCACAAGCATTTGTTCTGAGAGCTATTCGTCTCAAGTTGTTCGATTATCCGATCAATCGATATATTTGTAAAGGATTCTGAATACCCTTCTGATTACATACAACTTCTGAAAAATGTCCGAATAAGATATGATCCTGATAATTCATATTCTAAATAACTGATGATTTCGTCAGTTATTGAACCCTTCCTATAGTGATTCTAAATTCCGACATTCTATCAGTAGACTGAAAATCCGTGTGTCTCTGCCTGTTAAGATTATCCTGTACCTTTGAATAATATCCATAAACTCTGGTGTGTTCCCTTATCAAATAAATATTTTATATGATTTCCAACTTGAATTCTATTCTGATACATTACCTGAATTCTGTTCCGATTTCTGATCTGGATTCTGTTCTGATATCTGACTGAATTCTGTTTTGATTTCTGATATCTCCGTTTATTAACGGAGAAATGTTTTATATGGGGGTTTATTGTTGGAGGAAGTATATCTGCAGGCTTCTCGGCTGTGTTCTTATGGCCTTACTGGTTGTGCGGGGTGTATGGTTCCGGGGAATCTACACAAACAGATTGTGAAAGGATGGGGGTGCATATATATATATTTTTAAAAAGATCTGTATCTTTTTACTGGTTTTATGGGAATACACTAGATAACCTATTTTGATCTCCTGAACCAAGACATTTGAAATATTTCCTTTTGAATTGAATATTATCTGTTACTACCTCATATATCAATGGGATCTCAGCTCAGCCTAAAAATCTATGGATGTTCAGAACCAATAAGAAAATATATGTTTATCTGTATTTGCACGTTCTTCAGCATCATCTGGTAGTTCTGTATTACTGAGCTTTCCAAAGCTCACTTTGTTACTCATCTTTTCAGGTTAAAAGAATTTTACCAGTACAACTATCGTCTTCAGTAAGGGAGTTCTTCCGGCGTTGTTATCAGAGTATGGTACATGTGATTAGGGGTCATGTAATTGTATTTTGTTTTATATACGAGTCTGAAAATCTGTTTTAGTTCTGTATACTGATAAATCATTTTATAAGTATATGTTTTATTAAATGTTTTAAATTTTTCGCTATTTTTACACTGGGTCGCTCCGGTGGCCCTAATGTGACACCCCAAATCGGATCGGGTTATCCGCATCGGTTTGAGGGTGTTACAGTTTCTATCGTTGACATTTATGGTGATGACATGTTAGTCCATTTTGGTTGGTGACTTGGCAGATGCGTTAAATTGATTTTTTTGGTCGAGTTCAAGGGTTAAATTGAGTTTTTTTAAAGTTCAAAGGCTTATTTGATTTTTCAGAAAAAATATTTTAGATTTTAAATTTTAAATTTAAATTATTCAAATATAGAATAATAAATATAAAAATACTAAAAATAAAAAATAATACATATATAAAAATTTTAAAAATTAAATTACTAAGGAAATATGAAGAACAAAAATGAGCAACTTGATCACCCGATCAAATATACTTGCTCGGGGATATTTTTTTAAATTATGATTCATAAATTACTTTTAAATCTCAACCTTTAAGTTAAAAATAATAAATTTAAATACATATAAATTCTTTTTTTTAATTGTAATAATAATGTCCAGTAAATTAATATCCAATCGATAATTAAATGAAATGACTCGAAGAAATAAATTAATATTAACATTATGTTTTTAACTATTTTCAATTGATTCATAAAAATTCTTTCATTTATTTCGTCACAATCTTTAAACATTTTATACCATTTGTACCTTTAGTTTAGCAGATCATCCATAATCCAAATTATCCATTTTTTTTCAAAGGAATCGAATTTCCATATTTATATAGTTTAAATTTAAAATCTAAAATCTAAAATAATTTTTTGAAAAATCAAATAAGCCCTTGAACTTAAAAAAAACTAATTTGACTCTCGAACTCGACCAAAAAACAAATTTAGCCTATCTATCACATCATCTACTACATCACCAACCACTGTAGATTGCCACGTCAGCATCGTGAAGTGTCACGTCAATACCGCAAATGTTAACGACGAAAACAGTTGGTCAAAGGGCCATATTAGATTTGTTTTCTAAGTTTGAGGGGCCACATTTAGTGCAAAAAATGACGATGGTCACATTGATTTTTTTAAGTACGAGGGCCTTACATACCCTTTTTCCATTTTAAAAAAATATATATCTTATAAAATATTCAAAAAAAAACTTAAATATGATAAAATATCAAAAATAAAAGGTAAACTGCTAAAAAATTAAAAATATATATTATTATATTTTATCTCGAATTTAATTTGAATTTAATTTATATAAATTTAAACTCGTTCATTCTGTACAAATTTTATTTTATATTTTTACCTCTAATTATCTTAAACTCTAAATATCTTTCTATTTTTTCACTATTTTTTTTATAAAATTGAATTAAATAAATATTATAAAGTCTTATATAAATAAAACTTCAAAATTATAAAATTAAAATTTATCTATAAATTATCATGAAACTATATAATTTAAAAATATATAAAAGAATAATTTTACAATTGAGAGGAAATTTTTAGTGAATATAAATTATCATGAAACTATATAATTTTAATATATATAAAGTCAAGGTTGATATGGATTCAATGTGTTTGAAGGTTTTTTTCACTCCTAATATTTATTTTTTTTTTAAAAAATCAAGGAATAACATATTCTATTCTACCAAATAAAATAAAAATAAACTCAAATTAGAATTGACATGCCCAAACATAACAATATAATCACACAACTAAATAAAATAAAACTTAAATTAGAATTTACCTCTAAATTTAATAAATCATATAACAGTAACATTTTCAATCACTATAGTTCATGTGTGTGTATATATTAATTTTTTTAGTAATTTACTTTTTATTTGTAATATTTAATATTTTGTATATTTGTATATCTAAATTTAAATTTTAAAATATATTTTTTAAATGAATAAGCCCCTGAACTTAAAAAATTAATTTATCTTTCAAACTCAATAAAAAACTAATTTAACTCATCAGTCACATCATCAGCCACATCGTCAGCCGTCGTGAATCGTCATGTCAGCAGCGTAAAATATCACATCAGCATCATAACGGTTAATAATAGAAATCCTTGGTAAAAATGTCATGTTGGGTTTCTTTTCTAAGTTTGAGGGCCACATTGAGTGTAAAAATAGTTCGAGGGCCACATTGGCTTCTTTTGAAAAGTACAAGGGCCTCAGTAGGGTTGTAAACGAGACGAGACAAATCGCGAGCTATTTGAGATCGACTCGGTCAAAGCTCAGTCAACTATCAAATCGAATAGACTTTACTCAAATTCTTAACGAGTCGAAGCGAGTTATTTAATACCCGATTCGAAAAGCTTGTGAGCAACACGAAAAGAATAATATATTAAGTTTTTATATTTTTTAAATTAAATTATTGTTAATATTAACATTTATATGTTCTTTTAAAAAATATAATATAAGACTTTCATGTAGTTAAGATTTAGGTTCAAGCTCGAGTTTGAGCTTCAATAATAATATTTCAGGTTCAAGTTTTTTCGAGCTTGAGTCGAACTTCAATTTTTGATTTCGAGTTGAGCTTTAAAATTTTAAGTTCGCAAGCTTTTAAGTCGAATAAAGCTTCAATTTTTTATTTCGAGTTCGATTCGATCTTGACTATTTTAAGCTAGTGAGTATTTTAGTCGATTCAAACACAATTTTATATTTTTTGAGTCGATCCAAGTCGAACTTAATACTACTCGAGCTTGACTCGACTCATTTATAGCCTTAGGCCTGATGGACCTTTTTGCCTTAATTTTTTAATAAAATAAGTGTTTAATGTTTTATTTAGTAATCATTTTAAGATTGTTATGTTATACCTAGGGATGGATTGGGGAAGCATGTGAGGGCACTCATCCCTCCTAAAATATTTGAATTCTCATATATTTTAAAATTTTATGATTATTTTCTATTGATAAATTTTTTTCATTCCCTAAAATTTTATAAATTCATTACCCTTTAAAATTTTATAACTCCTCCCCCAACATAAAATCATGTGTATATCCCTAATCATACCCGTTTAAAAAATATTATCCAATGAATGTATGATATTTAGCACTCATTCATCTTCTTTTATAACTCATTTTCTTTTTTTTCTCTTTATATTATAATCAATTTTAGGTGACTCAAAAATATTAAGTCCTTAAAAATAAATATTTTATATTATAAAAATAAATTATTTTTAATCATCATAGCCTTACATTTAACATCAGCACTATAAATCAATATATAAACTCCACTACACATAGAAAGGGGTTGGTTTTCTCTTTCCTTGATCTTTGCTTTGGCACTCTATTTCTCTCTTCTCTCGTTATTGCCAATATTATCATTCGACGGCCGATTTACCATCAATTATAACACTTTTTCTTTTGATTACCGATTGAATCAACTAATTATCAACAGTATACTAATCACTAGATTACAACATGTTTTGACAACATTGCCGGACATCTTGTTTCATGGGTTGTTGGGCTATTTGGGCCATACAAAAGAACTACTCTTTTTCTTTTGATGGAATTCCAGTAATTCCTGCATAATTTCTTACAATGGTGGTGAGACAGATCCCCTAAGTCTTTGATCCATCTCTTGTTGTATTAGAGCCGGATTAATTATAATGCATTCGATAATACTATAATATTTAAATAACATTCGATAATACATTCATCGTCGAAACATATCTAGACATGGAATCAATCCCTCACCTTAGATTCAATTTCAGTGTAATACTTTTTAAAAGCTCTAGGTAAATAGACAGGCAACAAAAACCCAAATAGATTGAAGCACCAAAGCCCCATATTAGCCAAAGCAAGCACTCTCCCAACGTAAACTCTGTTACTAGATGCATGCTCATTATCCACCTTTGAAAACTCAGACCTCACCCACTCCACCAGCGTGAAAATCCTCCGGGAATTGTAAAGAACCGGAACAAAGACCTGAACCGGAATCGAATACCTGTCCGTAAACGCCACCCCTTCCATGAAAACTTGGCTAGTCACAAGGAAAAGATGCGGCCCGCTGCCTTCTCCCCTTGGCTATCACCTTCAACAATCCCGTGTAGGGTTGTAAATGAGACGAGACAGATCACGAGCTACTCGAGATCGACTCGATCAAGGCTCGATAAATATTCGGATCGAATGGACTCGACTCGAGCTCGACTCGAGTTCTTAACGAGCCGAAACGAGCTACTCGATATTCGACTCAAAAAGCACGTGAGCAGCTCGAAGAAAATGTTATATTATAATTTTAGATTTTTAAAATTACATTATAAAAATTTTATTAAAAATACATTACTGATAATTATAAAATTTTAAAAATATATTAAAAATTCTATAATACAACTACCCTGAAATTTTTAATTTTTTTATTTATCTAACCCAAGTCCAATTGTTACATTGTATATTACTAAAAGAAAAATAAAAGCTCATTTAAATAAGCACATGTTAAATTACACCCTAAACCTTAAATCCTAAATTATAAACCCTAAACCCTAAATACTAAATACTAAACCCTAAACTCTAAACCCTTAATCTAATTATGTGATAGGGGTTAAATTATGCACATGAAGGTAACATACAAATTATGCAAAATGAAATTAATGAAATTAACAAGGGTTTATATGTAAATAAACTAATAAATCACACTTGGTCAAATCAATCAATAGGTCCATTATCAAAACAAACAGTGATCAAAACATAAAATAAAAATAAATTAACAACCCGAATCATAAAAACGTAAACTTTGATTAATGACGAAATCAGAAGATTACAAATATAACAGGTCCTAAAATGCTAATACTCCATTTCTAAAACACGGGCTACCCCTTAGTCCTCGAAGCGTTGCCATTTTGGTACTGCTTAAAGCTACGTCGTTTTGGTCGTTGGAATATAAAGGAAGATTAGGGTGAAACGCTTAACCTAAATCATTTCCTCATCTCTCCTCAACGAGACACAACCCGCCGCTCTCTCATCTCCCTACCTTCTATCATTTTTCCTCACTCAACCCTAACAGAGACCCACAGCCTCTGTGGCTTCAGCCGCCTAGTGTTCCGATGTGGAACTTAAACTTTACCTAAATAGATTCTGGTGACAACCTTCATAAAAAACATCCCAAAACCTTAAACTTAAATCCAGAATACCCTCGTAAATACCCAGCTTCACCACCCCGTAGCCCTGTCAGACCACGGCCACTGCGACATTCGCCGTCCCAACGGGCTCTGATGAAGAGCCCTAACGCCCGGACCACTCTTTCCTCACTGGCCTAGGCAAGAAACCCAAACTTACTGAACCTCTCCTCTCCCCACAAACCCCAACGACTAACCTAGAAAACCCCTCAAATCCCTAGAACACGAAGTTTGAATCCCACATGCACGACTGGAAAATCGTAAAAGATGAAGGGTTTACCTTCCCCTAGATGATATCGTGGTTCCTAGCGAAGGCAACGATAGGTTATGGATTAGAAAAATAAGTTTTTTATTTTGCTCGATGGTGGGTTCTTTGGTTGATGATGGATTATTTCTGTTGATTTTTCTTGTTTTTGACCTTGTTGCTTGGTTGTTCCTGATGGCTCGTAGTTTCTAGTTTTTCCTAGTTGGTCACTGTTTTTTTTGGTTTTGTGTCTTTAGTTTCCTTTGATGTGTGTTTTCTGGTTTTTCTCTCGATGATAGCTGATGACCGACTCTTGTTTCTTGGTTGCTTTTATCTTCCTGCTTTTCTCATCCCCTTGCATCATCGGAGAACAAAAACAAGTATTTTATCTATGGATGTTCATAGAGGTGATGTTACATCTAGTCGTTTGTATAAGCTTTTGCAAGACATTTTTAGTGGAGAAACATCTGTACCGCGTGTGAAGTTTGAACTTGATTCATATTTGGGTCTCAAATAGGTGATAAACAGTAAACAGAACCGTAGAGACTCTCTGTAAAGTTATGTTTTTAGTTTGACACGTTTTTGGTTTGCAGTTGTTTGAGAATGTTGAAGTTGATAAACCTGCTTCTAGTCGTTCAGCATTAATTGAGATTTATGTTTTGGGGCTAAGGTATAAAGCCCCTGCAAAGATTGATCCACGTCTTCTTGACTTCAAGCATCTATTTTAAGGATCAATAGAACCATAAAAGAAGGTTTTTGTTTCATTTTATGTTTCAAACTCTCTCCTTTGCCCTATTGATTGTATTTATTCTCATCTTTTTTTCTTTCTACACATGCTTGATGTAGGTGATTGATGTACTTAGGGTAAGTAAACAAAAGAGACACCATGATGGGTAAGTTTTCCCTTTATCATACAACAATGTAACTACTTTGTTCATATTTTGGTAAATATTTTCAAGTGTTTACTTTGTTTCTAACTACATGCCGACCACAGGTATGGAGATGGGGAGACAATCTCGAAGAATGTGTCTACTGCTGCTGACTTCATTTGGTCTGATTCTCCTCTTAAAATCCTTGGTTCGGTTACTACCATAACTTTTGAGGATCTAGCTTCATTGCCTATTAAGGATCACAGTTCTACCTCAGAAGAGGTGATTATCTTTTCAATATTTCTAGTCTTACCTGCCTTGAAACATGTCGTTACTTACTTTGCTAGTGTCTTGATAGGTCAAAGCTCTTTGTGATGATTTGTGTGTTCTACAAAAGCAGGATTTCAAGTATCTTTTGAAGTAAAAAACATAATTATTTTCAGTTTTTCCCTTTTTGAGATTTTTAAGTCTAAACAATTTGTGATAATAAGAAAATATATGAGTAAAGCTATAATCAGAGCACTAGGTACATACTACTATGAGTGGGAACTTAATTTGACATGTTGCAATATTTTGTAAGCAAACTTGACATGTTACAATATTTTGTAAGTAAATTTGACATGTTGCTGCCATCTTTTGTAAGTAAGCTTAACTGGATGATATCATTTTTTGTATTTTTTTAAGTAAACATGCATCTATCATGATATTGTTATCTTTTGTAAGGAAAATAGTGTCATCTTGTATAAATTTGGATATGTTGTCATTTTTTTCATCTTTTTATAAATTTAGATGTGTTGTCATATTTTGTAAACTTTCAATACATTTGAAGTTTTAAAAACTTCAAAGCTTATATTAATTATCCTAAATTTCTTGTAATTGTATTTTTATTTTTTAGATTTTTTATAGTTCATACAATCATATTATAATGTATTGGTGATGGTTGATTAAAGGGAAAATTATTTATATATTTTAAATGTAATATAAGATTTTTGTAGGTTCAAATTCGAGTTTGAGTTAGAGCTTGAATTGATCTCAAAATCGAGCTTCAATCGAGCTCCTGAATTTTTTTGAGTTCGAGCCTTTTCGAGTTCGAGTTTCAAAAATATATTTCGAGTTCGAGCTGAGCTTCATAATTTTTATCTCGTGAGTTTTTGAGTCGAGTCGAACCTACGTTTAAAGTTTTCGAGTTCGAGTTGAGCTCAGCAATACTCGAGCTCTACTCGGCTGGTTTACACCCCTAATCCCGTGAATGATGTAAGCCACCGAGAAATAAAGTCCGATGAAGGCGCTGAACGTCATGTACGAGCGAAAAATCTTGTTTCGTTGATCGAAGACTATACAGTCTTTTAGAGGGGCATTCCGAGGGAAGGCAACTTTGAAAAGCAAGTGCATGTAGACGATGGAGAAAACCACAAAGGCCAAGTCCTCGAGGCTAATCATATAACACCCCAACCCGTACCCGACTCGAATACGAGTCCGAGATATCACTTTGACTTTTAAAACTTTGACTCTTAAAGAAAAACCCCGGGAATTTAAAACTTTGTTTAAAACAAAATATGTTAATTTACATAAAAGAGACCATAAAATACAAACTCAATCAGAGTGCTCATAATTAACGACTTATTACGTCCCAACACTCTTTACACAACAAAATACCTACTTTATCGATTACTTCTGATCTGATCTTCTAGTAATAATACTATCCTTGCTACTTCTATTCTTGCTCTTCTCGTTTCCTGGTATCTACGTGTAAATCACTTACACGCTAAGTCATAGACTTAGTGAGGCAATAAATAAACATGTAACAGTAGATTCATGAATATGCATTCTTACCATTTGATCATGATATTTCAATATGCATGTATATATTTCATATGACATATATAACCAAGTCATGCACACATAAAACTTACCTTTTTGCATCACTTTCACTTTAATTTATATTTCAATTGCCCATGTATATTGTTGTTGAGAACAAAGGTATGTGAGTACATTGAGGTTGTGCACTAATGTTGTCACCACAGCTCGTATAAATTCCCTCATGGGCACCGAACATTTGTTCAGTATTCGTCCCGAAGGACTACTATATATGTCCTGTAGGACCACTACGTCTTGAAGGACTACGTCCCGAAAGACTACAATACCCTCGACTCTTGGCATGGCAACTATACCTATAGCTCTCGTATCATATACTATGGGCATTTACTATGAATACATTTCTCATCACTTGTTCTTTCTTTTCTGTCAGATACCACATGTATGTGTAACCATATATTTCATATCATATCACATGTATCACGTATTGCATATTCACATATCATTTCATATATTCACATAGCTTATCTCATTTCACATTGGTCATGTCTCATAACATATATCACACATGCATATAATCATGTATATCATATTATATATCTTATGTTTTATGCTCTTATGTCTATGCATATCATATAACATATATAATAACCTATACTCATTTCATGTATTCATGCACATGTAAGAATCACAAATCAAATAACATTTTAGGAGTCACTTATTACCATAGTAACTCCATCACTAGCTCATCTCAAGCCAATGTTCGTTCAATAATATAAGTACAATTAAAATTGCACTCACCTTAGCCGTATTTGCTTTGATTCGATCCTAATCCTTTGATTATTCCGGAACTTGTTTAGACTCAATATCTACATAAATATAACATTTCAAAACAACTATCAGAAGCCTAAACCTTAAACTTGATGTTAACAACTTAAACCAAATTAAAGAACTAAATTCTATTTTTCATTTAGGGGGAGTCGATACCCCCCCAGGGGAATCGATACCCCCTGAACATACTAGAATTTTTCATTCAAGAGGGGGAATCGATTTCCATTCATAGGGTATCGGTTCCCTCTACCCAGAAATTGTATTTTAAGCCTGAAAATCATCAATTCTTCATTCAATTCTTCTATTTTAAACCTCTACCATGTCATTAAACTTAACTACCATTACTTAAACCAACTTATATCCATGAAAATCATCTATAACTTCAAAATCCTATCCTTCATATGTAATTCAAGAATCATACTCAAATTTCAATATGTTCTAAATAAAATTCTAACACTTCATGTTCCTTAATTAACATGATGACAAGTCAAATTTAACTTCAAATTCAACTTATCAACTCTTTTCCATAATTTCATATAAAATCTCGTTTCCTTTAATCTTTTATAACTTCATCTTTTGATCATAAGACAACTTAAGCTTTCCTTAAGCTTAGTTATCATCTAATGATCAAAACCTAACCTTTAATTTAACAAATAACTAACAAATCAGAAAACTCACCTTATGCTATGGCTCTCTCGTATGGAAGAACAAAGAGGAGAAAAAGAAGATTCTCTAGATATTTCTTCTTATCCATTTCCCCCGTATATATCCCCACATATCACATTTTAATTCATTTAATGGTTAAATGACCATTTTTCCCTTTAATTCCTTTAATAATTACTAATAACTTTCAGGAAATATTTCTGAACAAATCATTGGACTATACAAATATCCTACTTAAATCACCAAACTCTGAAGTTTTACGATTTAGTCACTAACCTATATTTTGGGATATTACAAATCTCTCCCCTTAAGAAAATTCGAGGATGAATTTTCATTGTATAAAGAGATGGGGATATTGAATCTTCATGTCCTCTTCACGTTCCCACGTCGCTTCTTCCACCTTGTGATTTCTCCACAACATTTTGACTAATGGAATAGTATTGTTCCTTAATTGTTTAACTTCATGGGCTAAAATTCGGACCGATTATTCCTTATATGTCAAATCTGATTGCACTTCAATTTATTCTGGTGATATAATATGGGAGGGATCAGATCGATACTTTCGAAACATTGAAACATGAAAGACATTGTGAATTTTCTCCATTTCAGGTGGCAAAGCTAATTGATATGCCACTGGTCCCACTCTCTTAACGATTTCATGTGGTCCAATAAACCGAGGACTCAATTTTCCTTTACGTCCGAATCTCAATGCTTTCTTCGACGGAGACACTTTCAAGAACACTTTATCTCCAATTTGAAACTCAATTTCTTTCTTTTTTAAATCAACATATGATTTCTGTCTATCAGATGAAGCTTTCAGATTATTCTGAATTACTTGAACTTTCTCTTCCATTTTCTGAATCAACTTAGGACCAATAACTTCTCGATCCTTAAGTTCATACCAATTCAAGGGTGTACGACATCTTCTCCCATATAAAGCTTCATAGGGAGCCATTTTGATGTTTGACTAATAACTATTGTTGTACGCAAATTCAGCAAGTGGCAAATACCTTTCCCACGATCCTTTGAATTCAATTACACAAGCTCTTAGCATATCCTCTAGAATTTGGATAGTTCGTTCGGATTGTCCATCGGTCTGAGGATGAAACGATGTGCTAAAGTTCAGTCGTGTGCCCAATGCTCCATGTAAAGACTTCCAAAATTATGATGTGAATCTAGGATCCTGATCAGAAACTATGGAAACATGTACACCATGTAACCGTATAATCTCTCTAATATACAACTCAATATATTTATCCATAGAGAAATCAGCTCGTATCAGAATGAAATAAGCTGACTTAGTAACATGTCTACAATCACCCATATTGAATCTCTTTTGTTCAGAGTTAAAGGCAACCCCATCACAAAATCCATCGTCACATTCTCCCATTTCCATTGAGAAATTGAAATTGATTGTAATAGTCCCGATGGAACCTGATGCTCAGCCTTGACTTGTTGACAAGTCAAACACTTAGATACAAATTCTGTAATGTTTTTTTCATTCCAGGCCACCAATATCGACTTTTAAGATCCATATATATTTTGTTTCCACCTGGATGCATCGTTAATGGACTATAGTGAGCTTCCATTAATAAATCATTCTTTAATTCATTAACATCTGGAATCACTAGCCTCCCTTGATAATATAGGTTCCCATCAGTTTTCATCTCATAATTTGTACACTCTCTATTCTTTATTTGCTGCAATTTCTTTGAACACATTTCATCTTTAGCTTGCAATTCTTTAATTTGATCTAACCATGATGGTTTGATAGTCAATTCCGCACAAATTGCACCATTTTCGCCTAATGATAGTTTAGCATCCATAGCTCGTAAGGCTGCAAACATCTTTCGGCTTAAGGCATCTGCTACCACATTTGCCTTTCCGGGATGGAAATAAATCACAACATCATAATCCTTGAGAAATTTCACCCATCTTCTCTATCTTAAATTTAACTCTTTCTGAGTCATCAAGTACTTTAAACTTTTGTGATCCGTATACAAGTAGCATTTTTCACTATACAAGTAATAACGCCAGATCTTTAAAGCGAACACTACTGTAACCATCTCCAGATCGTGTGTCGGATATTTCTTCTCATGCGGTTTTAATTGTCTCGAAGCATAGGCCACCACCTTGTTTTCTTGCATTAATACACATCCCAAGCCATTATGAGATGCATCACTATACACTACAAAGTCCTTGCCAGACTCAGGTTGGACTAACACTGGAGCTTCTGTCAAAATCTTCTTTAACTTTTCAAAACTCTTTTGGCATTCTTGAGTCCAAGTAAATTTTACTTCCTTTCTCAACAGCTTAGTTAGGGGTAATGTTATTATTGAAAAGTTTTTAACGAACCTTCGATAATAACCAGCTAACCCTAGAAAACTTCGAACTTCTAACACATTCTTTGGAACTTCCCACTCCAGAATAACTTTAATCTTTTGAGGATCCACTCGAACTCCTTCTGCAGAAATTACATGACCAAGAAATGCCACTTCATTCAACCAGAATTCACATTTAGAGAATTTAGCATAAAGCTTAGTGTCTCGTAAATTCTGCAAGACAATTCTCAAATGAGAACTATGCTCTTCCTCTGACTTTGAATATATTAAAATATCATCAATGAAAACCACTACGAACTGATCCAAATAGGGTTGAAAAATTATGTTCATTAAATCCATGAAAACAACTGGTGCATTCGTAACTCCAAACGACATTACAATAAACTCATAGTGACCATATCTTGTTCTAAACGCCGTCTTTGGAACATCTTTCTCTTGAATCTTTAATTGATGATAACCCGAACGTAGATCAATTTTTGAGAACACTGAAACTCCCTTTAATTGATCAAATAAGTCATCGATTCGAGGAAGTGGATATTTATTCTTGATAGTCACTTTATTGAGCTGCCTGTAGTCGATACAGAGTCGTATTGATCCAGTAATTCCTGTAATTGAATCTTTAATTCTTGCAACTCTTTTAGAGCCATTCTGTATGGTGCCATTGCAATGGGCGCTGTTCCCAGTATTATCTCAATCTGAAATTCTACCTCTCTGTCCGGAGGTAAACCTGGCAATTCTGCAGGAAATACATCAGAGAACTCTCTTACGATAGGAATTTCTTCAATCTCTTTGTCTTTGGCTCTTACAACCACCACACTAGCAATGAACCCTTGATATCCTTGTAACAATAACTTCTTTGCCGTCATCACTGAGATTACATTTGCCAATGGATTCTACCCTTCACTAAACACCACAATTTCTACCTCTTCTGGACTTCTCAACGTTACTCTTTTCAGTCTACAGTCGACATTAGCATAATAACGATATAACCAATCCATTCCCAGTATAACTTCAAATTATTCAAAAGGTAATTCCATCAAATTAGCAAGGAATTCAATTCCCTGAATTCGTATGGGACACCCTTGACTCACTATATTTACCCGAGCACTGTGCCCTAACGAATTCATCAATATCACCTCATTGTTAGTAGCTTCTAATTTAATGTTCAATTCTCTCACTAACTTACTAATAATATATGAATATGTAGACCCCGTATTAATCAATACCATAACATATTTATCAAACAGCAGAAAGGTACCTGTTATAATCTTCGGATCATCCCGATCTTTATTAGTCCTGAGATTATACACTCGAGCAGTGGAACATATCTCTTGTTGAGAAGAGGACTCTGACTGACTTATTCCTCTGCCTTTACCTCTTCCCCTTTGGCCTGTAGAAATAAACCTCTCTGGCTGTGCAGATTTATCGACTACCCTAAGATAATCCCGAACAAAATGTCAGGTGTCCCCACATCTAAAGCAAGCTCCAGAAATCCTTCTACATATCCCAGAATGATTCTTTCGACAATGTAGGCATTGTCTGTCTTGACTCTGGTTAAATATTCCAGCTTCAGATCCCACTGATTGAGTTTGTCTACCTCTTATCGGATTTGATCCTCTAGCTGAGGATACCACTGACTCCGATCTAGCTTGAGGTCGAGAACCAGCATCTCTGCCTCTTTTTTACGGTGCGAAACTCGAAGAAGCACACGTTCTCTTGACTCTTTGAGTCCTTGAATTTTCAAATCTCTCGTTCTGAGCTTTTTCCAGAGCTTTAGCACGGTTGACTACTTCTTGAAACGAAGATAAATTCAAGACAATCAACATTTCCTTCAACCAAGGATGTAACCCCTCTACGAACCACTCATAAGCATCATTCTCAGTAGGAACAAGCTCGACAACAAAGCGGCTCAACTTATTGAATTCACACTCGTACTTATATACAACGTGATTCCATTGTTTCAGATTCATGAACTCTTGCTTTATTTGTCGAACAAATTTATCTCTGATGTACTTATGCTTGAACTCTTCAAAAAACAAGGACCAAGTTACTTGATCATCAGACATTCTCAATGTAACGTTGGACCACCAAATTCTTGCTTGCCCTCGAAGCAAGGAGACGACTCCATCCAACTTGTCAACATCGGAACAATGAAGTCCCTCAAGCATGATTTTCACATCATTAAGCCAAAGGTCCGCAGTAACATGACCTTCATCAGCTTCCTCTTTAAACTCTAGAGCTCCTAAACCCTTCAACTCTTTTGCAACATTCATTTTTGGAGTTGAAGTAACAGGAGGTTAAAAACGCGTCAATATTGCGTCTAAAGTTCTAAAGAATACATCTTGATCATTCACAGGCACTCCAGAGGGTGTATGTTCTTCACTCTGTCTGGCCAGGGCAGGTGAATTACTACTTTCAGCAGATATATCATCTCCCACTTCATTTCTAGAACTACATTGTCCAGACATCTATAAAAATACAATCATATAGTTCTATTAGCACAACAATATACTTACTATTCCATCAGATCAGAAGTTTTCACTATTTTGTTAGCATGTATACCTTATAAAACACTCTAAACTCTGGTTTATGTCGAGAATCGACTAAACCTTAACTCTGATGCCATTACTGTAACACCCCAACCCGTACCCGACTCGAATACGAGTCCGAGGTGTCACTTTGACTTTTAAAACTTTGACTCTTAAAGAAAAACCCCGGGAATTTAAAACTTTGTTTAAAACAAAATACGTTAATTTACATAAAAGAGACCATAAAATACAAACTCGATCAGAGAGCTCATAATTAATGACTTATTACATGCCAATACTCTTTACACAACAAAATACATACTTTGTCGATTACTTCTAATCTGATCTTCTAGTAATAATACTGTCCTTGCTACTTCTATTCTTGCTCTTCTCATTTCTTGGTACCTACATGTAAATCACTTATACGCTAAGTCATAGACTTAGTGAGGCAATAAATAAACATGTAACAGTAGATTCCTGAATATGCATTCTTACCATTTGATCATGATATTTCAATATGCATGTATATATTTCATATGACATATATAACCAAGTCATGCACACATGAAACTTACCTTTATGCATCACTTTCACTTTAATTTATACTTCAATTGCCCATGTATATTGTTGTTGAGAACAAAGGTATGTGAGTACATTGAGGTTGTGCACTACTGTTGTCACCACAGCTCGTATAAATTCCCTCATGGGCACCGAACATTTGTTCAGTATTTTTCCCGAAGGACTGCTATATATGTCCCGTAGGACCACTACGTCTCGAAGGACTACGTCCCGAAGGACTACAATACCCTCGACTCTTGGCATGTCAACTATACCTATAGCTCTCGTAGCATATACTATGGGCATTTACTATGAATACATTTCTCATCACTTGTTCTTTCTTTTCTGTCACATACCACATGTATGTGTAACCATATATTTCATATCATATCACATGTATCACGTATTTCATATTCACATGTCATTTCATATATTCACATAGCTTATCTCATTTCACATTGGTCATGTCTTATAGCATATATCACATATGCATATAATCATGTATATCATATCATATATCTTATGTTTTATGCTCTTATGTCTATGCATATTATATAACATATATAATAACCTATACACATTTCATGTATTCATGCACATGTAAGAATCACAAATCAAATAACATTTTAGGATTCACTTCTTACCTTAGTAACTTCATCACTAGCTCATCGCAAGCCAATGTTCGTTCAATAATATAAGTACAATTAAAATTGCACTCACTTTAGCCGTATTTGCTTTGATTCGATCCTAATCCTTTGATTATTCCGGAACTTGTTTAGACTCAATATCTACATAAATATAACATTTCAAAACAACTATCAGAAGCCTAAACCTTAAACTTGATGTTAACAACTTAAACCAAATTAAAGAACCAAATTCTATTTTTCATTTAGGGGGAATCGATACCCCCTGATCATACTGGAATTTTTCGTTCAAGAGGGGGAATCGATTCCCATTCATAGGGTATCGGTTTCCGCTACCCAGAAATTGTATTTTAAGCCCGAAAATCATCAATTCTTCATTCAATTCTTCTATTTTAAACCGTACCATGTCATTAAACTCAACTACCATTACTTAAACCAACTTATATCCATGAAAATCATCTATAACTTCAAAATCCTATCCTTCATGTGTAATTTAAGAATCATACTAAAATTCAATATGTTCTAAATACAATTCTAACACTTCATATTCCTTAATTAACATGATGACAAGTCAAATTTAACTTCAAATTCAACTTATCAACTCTTTTCCATAATTTCATATAAAATCTCGTTTCCTTTAATCTTTTATAACTTCTTCATCTTTTGATCATAAGACAACTTAAGCTTCCCTTAAGCGTAGTTATCATCTAATGATCAAAACCTAACCTTTAATTTAACAAATAATTAACAAATCAGAAAACTCACCTTATGCTATGGCTCTCTCGTATGGAAGAACAAAGAGGAGAAGAAGAAGAATCTCTAGATATTTCTTCTTATCCATTTCCCCCGTATATATCCCCAACATATCACATTTTAATGGTTAAATGACCATTTTGCCATTTAATTCATTTAATAATTACTAATAACTTTCAGGAAATATTTCCGAACAAATCATTGGACCATACAAATATCCTACTTAAATCACCAAACTCTGAAGTTTTATGATTTAGTAACTAACCCGTATTTTGGGATATTACAAATCATGCCTCTTGCGGTGAGGATGAACATAACAGCGAGACAATTGAGTTGCCTGAGGCTGAGACCAACCCCTCCTGCCATTTCTTTATTTTCTATCCTTCTTTACTTCTTCTTTCCCTAGCAAAGAAAACAAGTGAAATAAATTTTCCTGGAAAAGTTAGTATGGAGAGTAATAGAAAAAATTCAAGTCGTGGAGAGTAATGTAATGTAAGGCGGAGAGAACGAGACGTGGAACTTTGGATAGGATTTGGCAATGGAGGGTTGAGGTGATGAAGGAGGGAAAGTGGCAGCCGTGGAGGATTGGCATGGAATTGGAAACATATAATTAGAAGAGCTAATATTACTTTTGGTAAATTATAAATTTCATACTCAACTTTTTTTTTATTTCTGTTCCGGTCATTAAAATTGAAACATATTCAATTTTTTCACTCAACCTTGACATTACTCTTGTTTTAATCATTCCGTTGTTGAATAATCAATGACGTTAACATATGATACCAAAATAACATCATTTTAAAAACGATATTTTTGTATCCATATAAAACTTATTTTTCTTCCTCTTTTTTGTAATTTTTTTTCATATCTTCTCTCTTTTTTTAAAATAAGTTGGGTTGCATTGTTTTTATCAGTATCAGTTTGGGAGATGTTTCAAAAGTAAGATAATGGGTCATAGTGGCTCTAATAAGGTGGATTTTGAGAGTTCTGATTTAGATGTGGATCCTGCATGAATTCCTTCTATTTTATTTTGATTTTTTTAGAAAAAAATAAAGTCTCATTTATTTAAATCATTGGATCAAACTGCACAAACAATCTTTGATATTCTTTTCATTTGTTATGCTACCATTGTATATATTTTCTAGTTCCCACACCACTAATTTTACAAATATCCTATTTAGCTCTATCACATTATTTTGTAAAATTTAAAAAAATATATTAAATAACAGAAAACAGTTTCAGTAATATAATAATTTGATCTACACAACAATTTCTCCTCTTTTTAACTTTAGATCAGTTTAGTCCTTTTGTGCGCATAATTAGGAATATAAGATGGGCTCTTCCATTGTCCTCAATGGTTTGGAGCTCTTTTACTTGACTTTGGGAAGGTTAAATGCTTGGTAATTAAAAAAGAAAATCAATATAAAAAGAATATATAATAAAAATATTATTAAAAATAAAAAGAATCACCAGTATATCATAATATTTTTTGGATAATTAGAATATTATTACCCAAGGAAAAGCATAACAACTTCAATCCAATACAATCGAAAGAGCAAAAGAAAGGGGTTCCAATTACACCAAAAATCATTCTATACCCCAATAATTACAAAGAGATAGGTTAGTTATATCCAATCTATTAACATTTCTATTGCTAAGTTGAGTTCCTACACTATGCTTAATTGAGTCAAGAATCTCGTCCTCGGATCTGAAAGTTCCTCTAAAAATTCTTCGGTTCCTTTCTTCCCATATGGTATAGTTGAGGGTGCACCAAGAAAGCTTCAAGATACTAGTTAGCAAAGATTTACCTTTCCATGTGTTGTAAGCCCAAACAAGAGATTAGTCCAAGTAAGGAAAGGTTTATGAATACCTGAGAGCTGGAGAATAGAATTCCAGATTGAAACAATTATCTTACATTCAACAAAGAGATTATCCCTGGATTCCCTTGCTTCGAAACAAAGGATGCACTGATCATTAGTTTCAATTCCAAAACGTTGCAATCTATCCTTAGTAGGAAGACGATCCAAGATTACCATCCAAGTAATTAAGATGTGCTTGAGAATGTGAAATAGAAACCAAAGCATATTGTGTCATGGGACTTTACTATTTTTCTGTCAGATCTCTTCCCAAAACTACTTGGTGGTCATAGCTCCTGATGCAAGAAGAGGGCGGGCTGTAGTTCGAAGGTTCATGATTTTTCGTAGGAGCCAACTAGTGTTCTAAGGTTCATCCATAAGCCAGAAATCACAATCATTGATTAAATAGTTATGGATCCAAGCAACCCATAATGATCCATTCCCTGCAAGAATTCTCTTAATAAGAACAAGCATGCATGATTTATTCCACGACTTGATGTCCTTGAGACCAAGCCTGCTTTCAGACTTTGGAGTACAAATTCTTGCCCAGCTAACTCTAGCTCCCATTGCTGGAATGCCTGATCCTTTCCAGAAGTATCTCGAACAGATTTGTTCAATTTTTTTGATAACAGATTGTGGCAAGATAAGTTGTCCACACCAGAAATTGGCCACACTAAAAAAGTATTGTTTTAATCAACTCCAATCTGCCACCATAACTTAGCTTTGTCCTGCACCATTGATGAAGCTTGATTTTGATCTTGTCAATAAGAGGTTGACAGTCTTTAACAGTAAGCTTCCTTATGAACAGAGGAATCCCCAAGTATCTAACTGGAAGTTTTCCAAGCTTAAATCCAGTAGCGCTGATCAATGTGTCAAGAGAATGTATTAAAATTCAAGTTGTAAAAATTTCACATTTAGCAACATTAAGATTGAGACCTGAAATTTCATAGAAGTAGTCAAGGACAGTGATAATTCCCATGATTGATTCCAGATTGCCCTTGCAGAAAATAAGAAGGTCGTCAGCAAATGTTAAGTGAGTGAGGTTGATTTTCTTGCATTTTGGATGGAAGTTAAAGATCCCTTTTGTAGCAGCATTATTGAGTAAATTTGAAAGGATATTCATCACCATAATAAACAAAATAGGGGAAAGTGGATCCCCTTGTCTAAGACTCTTGGCACCTTTAAAAAATCCAATTAAGCTTCCATTGAAAGCAGTGGAGTAAGAAGCAGCAGAATAACAGGTCACAATCCATTCAATAAAAATATTTGGAATTTCAAGAGCCTTTAGAATGGTTGGAATGAAGCTCCAGTGAATGGAGTCAAGCTTTTTTAAGATCGATTTTCAGGGCACACCTAGGAGAAATAGTTTTCCTTCCATATCCTTTCACAATTTCTTGAGCAAGAAGGGTATTGTCAATAATATTCCTTCCTTTGACAAATGCAGATTGATTAGAGGAAATAATCTTAGGCAGCAGGTTGGTCATCCTATTAACAATGATCTTTGTGATGGCCTTATAAATTACTGAACAACAAGAAATGGGTTGAAAATCTGAAACTCTGCTGGGGTTCAGAATCTTTGGGACCAAGGCAATTGTAGTGGCATTAAAAGCTGGGTAGAGATAAGACTTCTTAAAGAAAAATTTAATAGCTTAAGTCACTTCATTTCCGACCACATACCATGTTTTCTTGAAGAAAAGAGAGGAATAACTATCAGGGCCTGGGGCCTTGTCATTTCCTTGACGGAAAATATCCTCTTTGATATCTTCAGAAGTAACTTCCTTAGTGAGGTCATCATAGTCTCTAGAAGGGGAAAAAGGAAGCATGAGATCTTTAATAAGTATGGTGGAATATTCTTTAACTTTAGGGTCTTGAGACACAAGCAGATTTTTAAAGAAATTGACTACTTCTGAGGACATTTCATCAAAAGTCTCAAGTCTTCTTCCCTGGTCATCAACAATCACTCTTATGGTGTCCTTCTTTTTATTTGCAATGACAGAGTGAAAAAATCTGGTACATTTGTCTCCCTCTTTTAGCCAGTGAATTTTTGCTTTTTGTTTAAGAAACATTGTTTCAGCTTCCTCTAAGGAGGTGAGGTCATTTTACAGCTCAAGCTCCTTATCAACAGGCTCAACACCTCCTAAGGTAAGAATTTATTGTTTTTCAATTTCTTCCCTCTTTAGTTTAACCCGTGCATAAATGTCACTAAAAGAGTCATTGTTAAGAGTCTTGAGATTGACTTTAAGGCGTTTGAGCTTAAGAAAAGTTTCTTCATAGGATTTCCTTGAATGGGCATGAACCAAGATTGGCTGACAATATTAAGGAAATTTGGGTGAAGGGTCCAACAATTAAAGAACTTAAAAGGCTTGGGTCTATTTACTTGAGCCTCTTTATGAAGAAACACCAAAGCCATACAATGGTATAAGAGACCAGGGACTAAGAATTCCACAAATGATTGAGGAAAAAATTCAGACCAAAGAGGGTTAAAAAGAACTCTGTCAAGTTTGAGAGCGAGAAAATTTTCCTTTTGCTTGTTACTCCATGAGTAAGTAGGACCAAAAAATGGATGGTCTTGGAGTTGGAGATCATTAGTGACTTTCTGGAATTCCATCATTTCATGTGAGATAACCAGACCAAGTTGTTCATGAGCAGAAGATTCGTGAGGGTGAAGGATAACATTGAAGTCTCCTCCTAATATCCATGGAAGATTACTGAAATTAGAAGCAATGTTTCAAAGTTCATGTCAAAGATTCCTTCGCGTGATTCCATCGTTGCTCCCATAGATTGCAGAAATTAAGAAGGGACTATTTTTGAAGTAGATTTTAACAGTAATACTCTGATCAGAGACTTGGCATAAAGAAATGTCAAGGTTGTTCTTCCACAAAAGCCAAATTCTACCATTCATTGCAAAGTCATAATTGGAATAAATATTCCAATTTTCAAAGGTGGAAGCTAATATGTCAGCTGATTTGTCTTTCTTTACACGAGTTTCAAGTAAGCATAGGATGTTAACTTTATTAAGGCTTGCTCTTCTAAGGACCTTAGCTTGCTTTAGAGGATTGTTTAGTCCTCTAACATTCCAAAATGAAATAATCATTGAGCTTGTGTTGAGGGAGTAAGTTCCCCTCCTTTACTGTCAACAATAGAAATTTTTGATTTTTCCAGGTTGAATTTCTTCTTAGTTTTGAGCTCTTTGATCAGGACAGTAACTCCAGAGGCTGCTTTTCTGGGTTGTTTAACAGGATGATCCGGTATAGACTGATTCTCTTCAAAAGAGTTTAGGATGTCAAACCTATTACTAGAAGCTGCTAGAGTTTTGTTTGGATTATTTTTTGGAGGTCTATCTCTGCCTCTTTTTGAAGGAGAAGAGGAAGAAGTTTGGAAACTAGCTGAAGAGCTTTGTAAAGTAGGAATAAAGGGATCTTTTGCATCTTTGAGGATAGGGACAACAACTGGATTCGGAGGGAAGTTGGAAAGGGTTCTATGAGAATGAGGAGCATCCAGAGAGTGAGGAGAATTAACAGAGGATTGGAAACCAGAAACTGGTTGATCACTAGTTTGGAGGTCCTTAGAAATTTCCTCAGGGGTGTTAGAAGTTAACTTCGAATCCTCATTGCCCTCATTGTTTTATGAATTTTGGAGTTGAGTAGAAGTAGTATCGTCATTCTTTATCCAGATTTGGGTAGTAGTGTGAAAGGTTGGAGGGACAACTTTGCAACCTTTGGCACTATGTCTAAAAGAATTACAAGATTTGCAGCATAGTGGGAGCCAAGGAATTTCAACAAATATAGAAGTAGTTTGTCCATTGTTAAGGATAACATCAACTTGTTTAGGTATAACATCCGAGGCCCCAATTTCGACACAGACTTTATCAAACTCCAGGCGAGACTTAGTTGTTGTAATAGAATCCATAGAGAGAGGAAAACCTATTGCACTAGCAATATAGCTTAAGCCTTCGTTGGAGAACAATTCTAGGGGAACATTGTATAAGTGAACCCACAGAGGAATTCTAGATAAATCAAATTGCAGTTTTTTCAAGTTTGGTTCCCACTTCCTAAGGATTAAAGGCTTGTTAAAAATATACCAAGGGCCATTTTCCAAAATCCATTCACGAGCATATTCAGATTCAAAAGTAAACAGGTAAAGGTTGGGTCCGGCGTAACTGACCTGAACTTTGGCACCTTGTAAGGGTTTTTTCCACAAGCTTTTGATAATCTTCTGAAGATATAAGAAATTTGGTGTTGCCCCTAGCACCTACCCAACAAGAGAGAATTTCCACTCAGCAGTTCCTTCTTCAAAATCTTCTGGCGGTGGATGAACAGTTGGAGTCCCATCCTTAACATTTGGGGGAAAATATCGAAGTTGCTGACTTGCAGAACATGTGAAAAGTTTGCGCCAATCCATCAAATAAACCAAGAGAGAATAAATCTTGAATAACAGCAGAGAAACGGAGAGAAATCGGAGAAAAATCAGTGAGATTGCTAGTAAAACGAGAGGGTTTTTCAGTTTCCATTAGACCCGCTAATGTGCATCGAGAGAACCCCATAAATGAAGGAATGCCTTAATACAGAGGAAATCCAACTCCGCACATACCGCCCACCCTTCTAATCTCAATTCTGTCAAAAACTCTTTTAAAATATGGATTTCGCATGTATGCACAAAAGCATGGCACATGTTCCCTTGTCTTGGCACAACAGACGGGTGATGGGATTGGCTTCTTGTGCTCATGCAGACACGGGCTCAATAAATCCAAAGCGTATTCACATCTCGGTTGCGCTACTACTTCCACACCTGAAAACGTAACCACAAACAACGCCACAGCACACAAGACAATGGAAACCTTGCTCATATTGTTATTCTTCTCTACACAAAATAAAATTTACTGGTGATTATTATTGAATTAATGATTTTTTCACATGCCTTTTGGTACAATTTATAATAGTTGGAGTGGTAGTCTTCGACAGATTTAAACCGTACATCTAAACCTAATAGCGAAATGTTAAGTTAAACATTGTTTGACAGAGAATACAAGTGGTAACAACATTACGAACGTGTTTCTCAATATATAGGTGATTAATTATATAAATAGTCACTCAATACAAAAATGTTTTTTCATTATCTAACCGTAAGAAATTAGAATTTATCACTAATATTTTTCTGGTTGCTTAACTCATCCGGACCAACCAAGGTCGTACACCTGACTATGGCGAGTGACTCTCCTAGCGAGAATTTTCTGCGTACATAAAGACTCAAACTCAAGATTTACTTAAGCGATATCAATGTGCTTACCACTTGAATCAAACCGCATTAGTAAATTTATCACTAATATTTGATTATTTATTCACTGTATATTGTTAATTAATTGATTTGACAAGTAAACTCTTAAAATAATTATTATTTTATAAATTGACATTGAAAAAAATATTTCATAAATATACATATTTGAATTAAATGATTTAAAATCACTAAACTCTAAATTTTAATATATACAACTTTGAACTCTATTTGAGGAATATATTTTTTAATATCGTCGGTGTATGAAATAACTTTTCTTTTAAAAATATCATATGTATTTATTAGTTTCCTTTAAAATATAAAATATTATTTAATTTTCAATTCTTTTAAATTAAAAACCCCTCCTTCAAAATTTATTACACAAATTTCAAATGTTTATTTAATTTTCTTAAAAATTTAATTTATTTGAGCAGGCAAAAAATGTTATTTATTTTGATTTCTCTCCTTTTCCCCCCGTTTTCAACAATTTTAGTATTGAGAATGCGGGTTTGAAAAGATATTGTTGTCATGCACGTCGCGGCTTTGAAGAAGTGTTTCGAAGAAAATAAGGGATTACGTGAAATGTTAAATCTCAAGAAGTTTTCAAGTTTTCAAATAGTTGAGTGAAGAATGATGTAATTTATCGATAAAAATGTCATATACAACAGTTCCATTAATTTTTTAACGGCGAAGTACCAAAATGAAATATAAACTAAATGTTAGATATGATTTTAAAGAAAAAAAATAACATTTATGTACCAAAACAAAATAAAAGTAATAGCTTAAGTACCAAACCTGTAGTTTACCCTTAAAAATAAGAGGGTGAATTGCAAATTATACTACTGAAGAGGAAGAGCACACTTTTTCCTATGTTAAAATTGAAACAAGCCAAAAGGCTCTGGAAACAGAGTATATGAAATTACAAAGAAGAAGCTACTTTATAGTGATTATTAGAATAATTGGAATCAAATCATGTGGGAAGTGATTTCTTGTTCAGCAAGCATTGCAACTCTTCCTACACGTACCATAGTAATCAGGTGAACCAACCATGAAAACAGGGTTCCTCTGGCATTCCCCAATAGAAGCCCAATGAGGACAACTGGCATCTTCATCCGAACACTCGTCATTTCTGCCAAAGCCAGATGAGATGGTTTCTCTGGAAACAGCCCTTGGGTAGAAGAATTTGGTGGCACACCACATTTCTCCTTCCAGAACAGGGCATCTAGCATGCGAGCTACTACCATCCGGAGATCCATTGAGGTGAGTCGTGAAGAACAAAACAGCGTTTCCCTTGACAGGTTTTTGGAAGTTGCTGGTCTTTGTACAATCTGACCATGTCTTGCTCTTCGGCTGCAACAGTAGGGAATCCATTTGTTGGTGGAGTAAGTTTTTACCTCCGAATGTTTAACAAAGGTTTTGAGATATATTCGTACTCACCTCTGCGTCGGGGAAAAGAATCTCACCACCACGGGTAACATTTGAAAGATACAAAATCACAGTTGCCAACAAAGGCTCACTCATAGCCTGCCTGGTTTTATTGCCAAAATAATCTAGGTTTTGTTCGGCCCCCTCAAGTTCATAGCGCCTAACATATAGAGGACTGCCATTCTCTGAGGCACAATGAACATCAAGTTCCAGTAAAACAAAAATGTCCCTTGGGAGAAAACAATCATTTAAAGGAAGATGAAGAAGATGGATGAAGATACCTTTAGGAAGGAAAGTCCAAGCCGAAAGTCTTTCTTCAATCTTTGCAAGAACTGTATCCTAGAATACAAAAATATATTTCTATGCTATAGAATCATTCATGAAACATGCTGCCGAATGTCAATGAACTTTATTTATTAAATTATCCTTTTGTGATATTCATAGAACGTACAGGGAATCTAATAAACTGATCTTTCCAGAATTTTTAAGCTAGTTTAACAAAGATTTTAAAGTTCACTGAAATTTGGAATACGAGCACAGCAGAAAATGGGGCATTGTGTGAGGAAAGCAATACAACAAATAAAGTCATATCAATCTACCCTACTAATCAAGATTAAAACAAATTTTAATTGTGTGAAGTATTAAGGTCAAAGGGTACATTAGTTATTTCTACTACTTAATGTTTTAACGTAAATACACACGACACTACCACATTGATAGAATCTCTACATTTTCTGTATGTACATCTATCCCTAGAACTTTCCTAGTTGAAAAAGAATGATAGATCAGTGATAGAACAAACTGTGAAGGTATGGGTGGTACATGTAATGGAGAAGCTCAGCAGGTGGTCAAGGAGCTTGAGGTGGCCAAAGGTTTGTAATGGAAGTAGTGGTATTTACAGCCACAAGTGCACACATTTTGTCTTGCAAGGTAAGGAGTATACCATTATGTCTTTTATCGACAAATAAAACAGGTAAAATTTCATTGATTGTCTGTGTGGGTGATAATGTTATTACTAGTGAATGCGTAAAACCATTGGAATCGTATCTCCAAACAAAATTTTAAACAAAGGATTTAAGAGATTTATGATATATCATTATATCTTAGGTGTAGAAGTTGCTGGATCTTGTGAGGGGGTTTCACTATCCAAAGCAAGCATGTACTTGACTTCCGGGAATTGGACTGTCAGGATTGCAGACCTGTTGATACTCCTATGGGTCTTAACAAGTAGTATGGAGTCATAGTTCAAAGCAAAAATAATGTAGAGGTCTTATGTTTTCCTTTTTCTTTTTTCTGGTAGCTATATACATGCTACGTACAGAAGCAGAATGGTAGTAGAAGAGGAGGATATCGATTGTCACATATTCACAACAAACCAAAAGTCAGATTGAGGACAGATTCCCAGTACAAGCCATGAGGAAAATGAAATACCAAGATTGGCTGGAGAATGGCTTAACATTATCAAAGAGATATTTACTACTAATCCACTTTAAATTGCCCAAGTGTCAATTTCAAAAGCGAGAAAACAAAATTTGAGTGTGAAATCAAGTTCTTGAGTGTATGCAACAATTTATTATCGAATAATTACTTCAATAGGTTGTCAATAAGCAACACAACAGAGTATGCAGATAGTGTTAGCTTAGGAAACAATGGAACTCACATCTGTATTGAGCAAAGTTTTTGAACTTGCAAGTTGCCTCTTTGTCCCAACATTAGCTCGATCATTATTGATCCCCAGAAAATTTTCTTTTACTCCATGACCCTGTAAGTCCATAGCCACTTTACAACTATTTGTGAACCAGTTTAAGCATATTGAAATGTAGTGAAAACAGTGGGGTAGAATTATACCAAAGAAATAAGATGGTCGCACTCCTCATTTGATAGAAAGCCACCATACTGAAAGGCCCTATTGCAAGCAAAATAATACCAGCCTTTTGACATTTTTAAATGTGCCAATGGAAGTAAAAAGGCCAATGGCTATATTTGCAAAAGCTAAAGGAACAACTGAAAATCTCATAAAAGTTCAAGCAAAACTGTAATGCAGTGCCATCAAAGAAATAGCCTATTTGACTCTTCATGGGAAATATAATTTGTGAAAGAAAAAAAAAACAGCAATGAGAAGGCAAACAATAAGTGACCTTGGCCGCCATAAAAGTTGCAGGACTCGTGAAGGGTCAACCACGTTGGATTGAACTGAATGCCTCAACTGAATAACCTCTTCGTCCTTCAACTCCTTCCGGCTACTCATGAGAAACAATTCCAAATGGAAAAGGGTTATAAGACAAGCAGTTATCATATAGAAGGCAAGATTTCCATCAGCTGAAAAAACTAAAAATGTTCTCTGCAAAATAGTTCAAGATCATGAAGAATAATTCATCATCCAAAGAATTCAGACTCCATAGAAGGAAACCAGAATGCTCAATGAAATATCATCTCATACAAATTTGAATTTTTTTCTTCTTGATAATGACCATTCAACAGAAGGGTACCATACTACTATCAACTACAGTAGTGATACCCACAATATTTCCTTAAAAAAGGAATTATCCAGGATAAACGTCCACTATATATATAATATAATCATTTATGAATGAGAGATTCTAACGAAATCCCAGATAAAGATAAACGTGTAATTCATCAATCCTGTGTTGGAAATGGATCGATTGCCTCGGTCATTCAAAATTAAGACATAATATCTACAGTAGGGATAAATTTCCACTACCCATTTACAAAATAAACAACATGTATCTTAAAAAAGATGAGATCGGGTTTTTCCTTTACCTTTCAGCTGAGAAATTGGAGAACAGAAAGGTGAAAAGCAGCGGAAGAATAAAATTTGAAACAAGGGAAGCCATGAACGGATGCAACAACGATTGTAAGATACAAACAGGAAATTGAAATCTCAATCCAAATCCAAATGGATTTTGCAGAAAACGAGACTGAAAGCTAAACCTCCCATGCGACTTTGAAGCTCTGTTTTAGCATCGAGTTTACACGTCGCTGAATCGAGGAAGAACTATCCACCCGAGAGGCAAGACGGGACAAGGCATAAATTTTCTTTGGGTTAATGTACCTTTTACCTCCTGATTTTGATTTAATCGGCAATTTGGTGCAGAACTTTGGTTTTGATGTGCTATTTGACCCTTCTCTATTTATGTGTAAGCCTATAACCCACATGTCCTTGGATTGAAATCTTACTCTGATATCATCAAATGTAATTTCATAACTCGACTTAAAAATTATTTGCAAAACAGATTCTTGCATTATTGAAAACTTTTATAAAGGCACCAAAAGTTCATAAAATTCATGATTCAACTCTAACATTTAAGGTTTAAAAATTAACCCCATTTTAGGGTAGGACAACTATTTTAAAAAAACATAAGGTAAATTACAGGATTAATCAATTTCGTCTAAGTTTTGTATATTTTTTCTCACCGAATTCAAAAAAAAATATTATTCGATCACTTTCGTTTTTATTTAATTAAGATGTAGTCATTGAGTGTTAATTGTCGTTAGACTTTTAACGGAACAACAATGAATATATAAAATTCAAGAATAAACTACACAAATGGTCACTAACGTTTGAGTAAATTTTTGTTATCCCCACTAAAATGTCAAAAGTAACAAATTAGTCAAAAGTAGAAAAACTAGAACCGATCCATACCATAATACTATAAATAATTACAATTAAAGTTGTATAGAAATTCGAACAACTCGACTAGACTCAAATTTTATAAATTCGGCTAGACTCGAAATTTTTTTAAATTAAATTTGATTCATAAAATACGACTCATTAACTCGAATAACTAAAAAAACTACTCTAATCAATCGAATACTCGCACCTACACTTCATGATTGATTTGGGATCCGACTTTCTTTTATATAAGCTCACGCTGAACTATTGTGGTCTTATATTGGCATGTTAAGGCTGCCCCGAGGATATGATATCTGATTATTTATGTCTTCTAAGTAGTACTTTGACAATATTACTCATAGCTATGTGAGTGTTAAGTAATGAAACCATAAGTTTAGTTATACATTATATTTTGTTCAAATAATTAATTTTACAGTTTGATCTAGTGGTTAAGTTGTCAAACATCTCATCTCACACCTCTAGGTTTGAGTCTTTCCAAAGTTCTATTTTAATTTAATGAAAAATAATTACTTTTAATTAATTTAATTAATTAATTATTTTTTTATGTCGTATCATCAATTAATTACGTGTGGTAATATCATGTCAATAATTCATTTCATATAGATTTGGCTAATTAGCAAGAAATGTTTAACAGTAGTCAAGTAATAATTTCCATTTGAAAATATCATTTTGATTCAAAATAAAACATTAAGGACTAAAGAACTTAAAAAAAAAAACAGGACTAAAATGATTATTCAATCAAACATAAAAACAAATTTTAACATTATTTCTTAATTTTTTTAAAAAAGTTTAAATGCTTCATACACTCCCTGAATCATTTATATATTTACCTTGCAAAATTTATAATTTAGATAAAAGAAACATAATAGTCCTTTCAAGACTTCAACCTTTAATCTTTAATCTCTAAGCCTCCTTTTATGAAGTTATCGCCCATGTAATAAATAGGAAAAACAATTTGAGAAAACAACAAAAGGAAATGTACACAAACATAATGTTTGATGAAATTCTAAAATATTCTCTAAAAAGTAAATTATATAATAATTAATTAATGAGTTATTTGAAGTTTTATAAGGTTTAAACATCAAACATAAAAATTATCAAACTTAATTTATCATAATAAATTCTCTTATTTCTCTCTCACTTTAAAAAAAAATTAATGTATATATGCTCCCTAATTTATGTGATTTAAATTGAAACTTTGTCAGATTGTTAATAAAGTTTTAACTTGACTAAAAATAAATGATTGAGATCGACTCTTTGTTTAATTTTCAGTGAATATCTTTTCATTTTCTACTGTTAATCTCATCCATCTATTTTCACTCATCCGACAATCTTAAATTTGTGTAAAACTAAAAGAGTTTTACATTGTATAACATGATCTTATCATCTATATAATCATATTTTTAATTATTTTTATATAGAGTTTTTTAATTATTTTGGGGCCAATAATAGCACCAGTCCCCGGTCCTCTATCTTAAATTTTCTTTCTCTTAAAGCAAAGTTGACTTTAATTATCATAGCTGGATATGCCTTCCTTTCCATTACCCTAAATTACAATTTTATGTCAATTAAATTTTCTATTGGACGTGAAAGGATAATTTCTTTACATTCTCCCTTTATTCACCTTGAGAATTAAATTTTTAGTTTAAAGTATATAATTTATTTTTTGATATTAAGAATCAGTTTTTATGTTAATTAAATTACTGCATTTTAATTAATGTATGTAATTTGTCATTTTAAATTACCCTAACAAAGGTAATCATCAAGTAACTTGGACTCGTGATCAGCACATTTCAAGAGTTCAATTGAGAGATCAAACCATAAAGGGGACCCTTCGAGGTGGAATTATTAGTGGTCCTCATAGGTCAGCAAAGCCAAAGTAGGTTACATAAACAAAAATAATTGAATAGTTAATACATTTTTTTAATGGAAAAGGAAGGCAAAAGCTTTGAACTACCTAACTACATTGCGCAAATAGGGAGGTCAAAAAGTGTCCCTGTCGAGCACATCAACAACAACAGGTGGCGTTTCCATACCTGTCATGGTAAAGTTGAAATAGGAATGGCCAAGGCGCATTCAGACCAGCAACAATTATCGAGTAAGAGAGGTTATTGATTAATCAATTGTCGAGGTCATACTGGAAGAAAAAGTGAGAACGCGATTGGTCAAGGATAGACTTCCAAATAGTTGGGACGATCGTGCAATTGCGGAGAGTGTGGAGGAGGGACTCACTCACAGTTCCGCAGATGTGGCACGATGGAGACGGAGAAAGGCCCTTACGAAAACGTTCCTGATATGTCATGATACACTGTCGGGATGACACCCATTCATCATCCCAAACGTTGATGCTTTTGTCATCCCCGAAGTGCCAAATCCGATGAATATTTAATACATTAACATCATTTAATTTTATTCATTATATAAAAAAATAATTTTATAATTAAAAAAATTGATACATAGAAAGGAAACTGCTCTAAGGATGAATATTTGATAGGGTCGAGTCTAGTTAAAAAATTCTGAGTTAGTTAAGTTGATGAATCCTATTTTATAACTAAAATTTTATTTTATTTTTTTTTAGTCGAGTCGATTTTTTTAATTTCTGTTTAAATTTCATTGTAAATATTTATAATATTATGATATTATTTGATTTCAATTTAAACGATTTTTTATATACAATACATATATATTTCTTCATATTTTTTCATATGTGATATATATATATATATATATATCATGCTGAGTTGAGTGACTCAACTCGAAATTAAAAATTAATCTAATACTTATTAAAAATTTTGAATTATTAAAATTTTATTTTATAACTCAATTCAAATATAAAATTTCTCGAATTGAAATAAATTTATAAAATTATTAATCAAACCAAATTTTTTAACGTCGAGAAAAAATATTTAGATTTTTAAGTCGAATGTAGGTTTACTAACCTCTGCCCATTATGCCATCACATCCCCAAACTAACTCGAACTAACATCCGAAATTTGGCAACAAACAAAACTAACTTCGTCGCCATTTCTACGCTTTCTTCTTCAAGCTCTCTCTCTCTCTCTCTCTCTCTCTCTCTCTCTATATATATATATATATATATATATATATATATATTTGTATCATCATTCCTCTATTACACCAGCTTCAGTGAGAGATCTGTTTTCTTCATTCGATTACTCTTCCCCGTTATTAATTAGAAATCAATAGCAAATAAAGCTTGAGCGAAAGAGGACGATCGCTTTTTTCTTTTGTCTCTTTATTACTACGACTAGTTCAATGAGAAGCGGATCAGCTCTTTGAAAATTATGAAAATCACGACAGTGCTGAATTTCGATATAATGCTGAGTTTACTCCTTTTTCTAGCTTTCGCGCCATGGTGCATTCACTCGGAGGAGCGACTCCTTGTTGGTATGACTCTTGTTCGAAACGCCACCGCCCACGGCGCCCGTAAGCTCTTCAATCCGGCCTTCTTTTTTTAAGCTTTTAATTTGGAAGTTCTTTTAAATTTTCTGGTTCGTGAGTTGTGGCAGTTTGTCTGGATGGAAGTTTACCCGCTTATCATCTGCACAGAGGATTCGGCGGTGGTGCAAACAACTGGATCTTACAGTTTGAGGTAATTGCTTATTTTTACCCTTCCACCTGCAATTTCCATTTTTGAAAAATAGCAATAAAATGATTTTAGCCCAACAGTTTTTTGGTGGGAATTAGTTTGAAAATGATTGGACGCATTCAATGAAACCAAAACGACATCGGATGGTCTCCTTTTTAGAAACCTGGGGTGTCGTGCAACAAACTTTTTTCTTTTTGGTGAGAATTTGTTGATGTGGCAGTCTATTATAGGCCATATGTCTTAGAAAAAAAGTTAGGAACAATATATAAAAAAGCCAAAGGGTGAGATAAGTTAGATTCAGCACGCATATTAATTCGTGTCGTTTATGATAACTATTATTTGCTTGATTAAAAATACTTCTACTTTTATGTGATTATCATAGTTTTTGTTACTTAGATTTTGTGAACACCCATAATTTGTTTTTTAAATAGTATTATGATATTTGAATTTTGATATGGTGAATAAGATAGGTTAGATTGAAAGGATTTTTTTGATAATAATTTTTTATAGTATTTGATATATATTAATTTGTTAATATATTTATTTTAAATACAAATTTATTTGAATGCAAATTAAATGTTAAAAAATTAGTTTGATGCAGATAAGCGATAAAATTGAAAGATCATTTAAGATTTTTTTAAAACCAGTCTGAAGATTAATTCTTTTGAGGTTTATACCTTAATTTTAACCAATTATAGATGCTTGTTTCCTAAGATAATTGTTAAACTAAATAAGCACATACAATCTTGGAAAATAAATAAATTCACAACTTTCTTTGCGACAGGAAAAAATGTAGAAAAGCAAGTGATTAATAGTCCCATAAATAAAACGAACTGAATTTACATATAAAGGAATGATAAATGGAGATCATGGAGTCTAATAAAAAGGCACCAATCGTTGCACCCAAAAGAAAGATGCCTGTTGAATTCAAACGCACATGATCACAAAATTAAAGGGAAGCCCAGTTGTTTTGGTGAGTGGGTCCAATCCAACTATTGTAAAAAAAATTATTCGATTTACATGGTCGTCATTCCATTAAAGGGTGGTGGTTGGTGTAATGATGTATCATCATGCCTGAAGAGAGCCACAACGCGCCGTGGATCAACTCGCTTCATGTCCAAGTTGGAAGTCTTCTCTGGAATCTTAAGCAACAACGCCTCCCTCAATCCAGGTTCACCTCATAACTTACTCCGTTGAATGTTTTTGTTTATTTAACCTGTCAAAATTTTATGTTATTGCACTATTACTGCACGTGGTATACAATTTTCAAATTGACAAACTTCATATATAAATGTAATACCTCTTGATGTGATTTTCAGAAATGGTTACTTTTATCTCAATCGAAACCTTCAAATAGACTCATTTATTTATCGGAGTTTTAATTGAACTTATATCCTCATGTTACTGAAGTATCATAGTCTTCGAGTTAATTATTGTGTATAAACAACATAAGGTATCTGACAAACTCATATGATTTACCATAACAAAATCTAAGATCTGACAACTTGATCTACTTGACCTATTGACCTATGTATAGTCATATACCTTTCGATCGCAATTGAGAAATGATTCTCTCCACTTCCTTCTCCTTCACTCCTGTACTCCCATTTTATGATTTCATCTCTATCATGAAAAAATATCAACCAATGATCAATTCTCCGTCGACTACAATTTTATATTCATACTAGAGGAGATAAATTAATAACAACCAATTAGACAAACATGTTTCTATTAACAACAAAATAATTAAATCAAAGTAATATTAAAAAATATTTCTTAACACGTGACATCTCATCATTATTTTCCCGTACATCAATTCTTTCGAACTACTAGGTCTTGGTGCCTAGTGCAGGAAATCTAGTATGGGTAATCAAATTTGTTTGAAAAAAGGGTAATCCTAGTTGTCCTGTAGGCATGTCCATGTTCCTCACTTTCTCGTTTGTTTTTGCCTTCACGTGATTAATTAAATAGCTTAGGCCGAAGCAGAAGCTAAAGCGCTTCCAGTTTTTTTTTTCTTTCTTCTTAAGAAAAGAGACCGGATGGTCCTGGCAGTGCCCGCTTGTCTGTCAAACCTGGTTTCACCCCTTTCTATAACCTACCAATTACCATGTTGAATAGGCCCCATTGGAGGACTGTTTTCATGTCCTATACAGTAAACATATTGGAATCCTGCTTCTCTGGGGGTGGCTTTTGACATTCACATCATGTGTGTTTATAACTGTTAGTCCAACTACTATATTATCGTGGAGAATGGAAAGAGGCAGCCTCAAAAACTGTTGATTCACGAGGACCAAATCTTCCTAATCAAGCTTGACATCCGAAGCAGGGGCGGACCTATGTGGCTCGAGGTAACAGTTGCATACCCATTTTCCCTCAAAAAATATAAACAGTTAATATATTATATTAAAACTTAAAAATTCAGCACACCTTTTTTATTTTATTTTATTTTTATTTTTCTACATATTTGTGTAGTTGAAATTTGTGCTCTTTTCTGTACATTTTGTTTTGTAGTTAAAATTTGTGCTCGGAAGCTGTCAATCTATTCTATATTTTCAATTTAAAAACTAATTAAAATAATATATATCATTTAAAAACCTTTCATTTAAGCTATTACTAATACTAAAGATTCTATTTTGCGTTCAAACCCACATATTCAACCCCACTGCTACTCAATTCTCAATTCTCAGTCTTTTATTTGTGCCTAAACCACTCGTCACGACGCCATTTTGACGATTTATTTTGGATATATTATAATGAATATTATAATATTTATTTTAGACCCCTATTTTTTAATTTATTGATCCGCCATTGATCCCAAGAATAACCGGGGAAGTTGCTAGCAATTGGTCCTTCCCTCGGCGCAGTTGAGAGTAGTTTCCTTGATGGATTAGATAATTCAACAATGGTTTGACTAGAGAATTACGTGGAATTATTACTAGATCACAAAAACTTAGCTTGCAAATAGACCACAGTCAACTCATCAAATCTCTGCTCTTTTTCACCCTCATAATTATGGTTTATCTCCCTTTCCGTTAGCGTATATAATTTCGAAGATTTTGAAGAAAAAAAAAATAGGCATTGAAGAAGGAAGGTGCTTTTGGCTTGTTGATTGATTGAATGGTTGAAGAAAGACATCACCATACAGACCAAAAATGCATTAAGCACATTCTTATCCTTACAAGATAATGGAAATTATTTTATTTGTCATTGGTTGGAAGTATAATTAATTTCCCTTTACAATCAGATTTCTTCAACTGGAATCGTGTGAAGCTTCGATATTGTGACGGAGCCTCATTTTCAGGAGATAGCAAGTTCGACAATGGGGTAACTATCTCATCTTAGTTTTGTTCCAGGAAGTGTGCCGTTTTTGTAATTATAAATATATATATATTCTTTAAGCTCCGTAACTCAAAGGTGGCATTTTAACTGGCTCCTTAATTGATTCCTTTCTGTGTGTATGCCTCTGAAATGCACAGACATCATTGCTTTACTTCAGAGGGCAGAAAATTTGGGAAGCAATTATCCTTGATCTTCTACCTAAAGGGTTGGCAAGTGCTAGCAAGGTAAGTTAATATTCAGTAGAAATTTACAATTTTTCTCTCTGAGTTGTTTATTCTCATCTTCTTATTTTTATTATTAGCAAGATGATAGTCTTTCTCATGGAAATGTGAACTGAACTTGTAAGTTGTAAATCTTTTATGTGAACTTGAGAAATAATACTTCACTTTCTTTGCTCTTTCTCTACTCTAGGCCTTGCTTTCAGGTTGCTCTGCTGGGGGTCTAGCAACCTTTCTGCATTGTGACAACTTAAAAAAGATGTTACCAAGCAATGCCAGTCTGAAATGCCTAAGTGATGCTGGATTTTTCCTGGATGTGTAAGCTTCTTTTCTCTCTGCAGCATGCAATCTTTTATTTCCTGATATTACATCTTTTGTTTTTCATTTTGCTGCAGACGAGATATGAGTTTGAATTACACCATGAGGTCCTTCTATCATGATCTAATTGCCCTACAGGTACTTTTTTTATCAATGACTTCAATTGTGATTAGATTGGTCCTAGGATAGAATTATCTATCTGATCCTGTAAATGGTAGGGGATAAAGCAAAATCTTAATCAAAATTGCATGAGCTCAATGAATCATCCGGAGCTGGTATGATCTTGTTTCTCCTATGATCCTATCCACATATCGATGATCTTCCCTTTGCTTTACAGATATGGTATTTAACTTCTTTTTCTACAGTGTTTCTTTCCCCAGCATGCATTGCAATACATCACAACACCGTATTTTATCTTGAACTCGGCTTACGATGTGTTCCAGGTAAATTTCCTTGCTCTAGTATTTTTCTTTTATAAATTGAATACTGTTGTTCGCTATGTGCTTCAACTGAATCTTATATACAGCATTAATTGCTTGGTTATATGCTTGATCATTTTTGTTTCTTCATCTTCCACCACAGTTTCATCATAGTTTGGTTCCACCTTCTGCTGATTTGCATGGACATTGGAATAATTGCAAGCTTAACCCAGTAGCATGCAATGCAAATCAGATCAATGTATTGCAAGGTTAGTGGTCCATGTATGAATTGACATCAAAATCCAAGATAAACAAATCATTATATCCTAATTACTCTGAAATGATACGAATTGACATCAAAATCTAACTCTCTTTTTTTCAGGTATGAGGCATGATATGCTTACAGCTCTTATATCATTCTACAAAAATTCAAAAAGAGGGGGTCTGTTTATAAATTCATGCTTTGCTCATTGCCAAAGTGAGTCACAGGACACATGGTTTGCTGTTGATTCTCCAAGAATACACAATAAGGTATATATATATGTGTGTATGTGTGTTTCGTTTACACACAATGGGAAAACTTGAGAAATTTTTTAATAATCACAGACCATAGCGGAAGCAGTTGGTGATTGGTACTTTGGGAGAAGAGTAACCAAAGAGATTGATTGCCCATATCCTTGTGATACCACTTGCCATAACCTTATACCATCTCCCCTGGTAAAGTCCTTTTTTATGCCCATCAGGACTGCTATTGGACTAAAATAACATTCTTGTTGTTGCCATTAAAATGCATTTGCAGGTTTAAGGTTGAAGATTCTTTAGTTATGCAAGATTCTTTTTAGTTCAACTCCATGTTGAAGGTTGTCAATACAGCTTTTTTTACCAAAAGGAAAATGGATGGTAAAAGGAAAGTATAGATTGATTGTATTCTTTTAGCAAATATATACATTCATTATATATGTATATATACATGAAAGTGATCCATGTGCTTTGTAATTGGGGTTGCCAAAAGTATCAGATCGGATTTTAAGCTTGGAACTATAGTGCTCATATCAATTAACCCCTCCGAAACTGAGCATTCTCTTACATCCCATTCACCAACCCCGAAACCCTTAGCATCTAAATCATAAAATCCTAAACCAACCCTAAAACCATAATCCTATATCATAAACTCAAAACCCTAAATTCTAAAACTATAACCCCTAGATCCTAAAACCCAAAACCTTAAAACTCTAAAATAATAAACCATGAACCCAAAATCTTAAAACCCAAAATCATAAACCCAAAATCTTAAATCCTAAAACCATAAGCCCTAAAACACTAAACCCTAAGCTATAAACCCCAAACCAACCCTAAAGGCCTAAACCTTGAACCAATAAACTCATAAATCCTAAAATCATAAATCCTAAACTATAAACTCATAAACCCTAAATCCTTAAATCCCAAACACAAATATCCCTAGACCTTAAACTATAACCCTTAACCCTATTAATATTAAATCTTAATCCTTAAACTCTAAATCCTAAATTTGAACATTTAATATCTAAACCTTAAACTCATTAATACTAAATCCCAAACCCTAAACCCTTAGATACTAAATCATAAACTCTATCATTAAATCCTAAATCCTAAACTTTAAAGGATAACACTAAATCTTAAATCATAAGTTCTAAACCCTAAACTATAAACCCTAAACTCTAAACCCTAAATCAATGACCCTAACCACTCAAAACAAAATCTTAAAAATCTAAACCTTAAATCATAAATCTTAAATCTTAAACCCTAAACCATAAAACCTAAACCATAAAATCATAAATCCCTAAACACTAAACACTAAGCTATAAACCTTAAACACTAAATCATAAAACTATAACCATAAACCCTAAAATTCTAAACCTTTAGACCTTGAAAATTTTTAAAACTTACACCCTAAAATCATAAATCCAAAAACTCTACACCCTAAAGCTCAAAACCATATACCTTAAACCATAAAACCATATACTTTAAATCATAAACACTAAAACCTTGAACCCTAAAACTATAAACCATGCACCCTAAAAATTGAGTCATTAACTCTAAACCTTAAAACCTAGAACATAAACCCTAAAAGCTAAAACCCCTAAATAATAAATCCTAAACCTTAAAAATCTAAACATCAAGTCCTAAACTCTAAAACCATAAAGTTCTAAACCTTAAACCTTATACCCTAAACTAAACTATAAACCCTAAAACTTAAACACTGACCATGACCATAGATCTTAAATCCTAAGCCATAAACCCTAAATCATGAAATCTAAACCTAAAATCATAAATCCTAAACCCTAAAACCATAAATCCCAAAATCATAAACCATAAAACCATAAATCTTAAAGTATGAACATTAAAACCTTAAACCTATAACCCCTAAACCCTAAAGCATAAACCCTAAAACCTTAGAATATTGATTCATAAACCTTAAAAATCTAAACCTTAAACAATAGAACCTTGAAACCCTAAACCTTAAAATCTTAATATAACCCCTAAAAATCTAAAACATTAAACTCTTGAAATCATCAACCTTGAACCACTATAACCCTAGAAACTTATATTGTGAAACCCTTAAACTTTAAACCAAAAAATCACAAATCATATCCTTTAAACTCTAAACCCTAAACCCTTAAACATTAAACCATAAAGCCTAAGTTATAAATCTTAAACCCTAAAACCTAAATCTTACAATCTTAAATCTTAAATCATAAACCATAAACCTTAAATTTTAAATCTTGAAACCAAAACCCTAAACACTAAAATCATACATCTTAAATCATGAAACTCTAAACCCCATATCCTAAAACTCTCAAATTTTAAACCAATCCCTAAACTAAACATTAAAACTCTAAAATAATGAAACCTTAAAACTTAAATCCTAAAATCATCAACCGGTCAACCCTAAGCGCTAAATCATGAACTAAACCCTCGTAATATTACATAAACACCATACAAGCAAAATGTTCTACCCTCGGAAGAAATCTTAAATTGGTATGTCATTAAGTTAAAGAAATACCAACCTTGGTCCAATAACCCTGCATGGATACAAGCCCAAAGAACCGAGAGAAATGCAATAGAATCCGGAGACAGACCCAAGTTTTGCATTTTAGACAAAAGGGTTACATCTTGGTAACCTTGGCCACTCATCCCATAAGCTGAGATCATAAGAAATCCATGACACAACATCCTGATATTTCATCTTATGGAGCATCGCCTTCGCTTCTTTTAAGCCTTCGCACTTTGCATTCATGTCAATCAGTGCAATCTTCAGTAGGGATAAATTAAGGCAAAGTGGATGGAGAGAATCGTTTATTGAATATTTTAAATTATTATATATTTTAAATATTTTATTTGTATTTTCATTGATAATATGTTTTCATTTTTAAAACTTAAGATAATTTTATCTCTTCTAAAATTTTAAAAGTTTACCCTCAACATAAAATTCTACTTTTCATTCCTGTAATGCCAAATTTGGAAGGAGTTTCTTCCTATAGATATATTCATGAATCCGTCTTCCAAGAAAAATAGCCGAAAGATCACCACAAGTTGTTATTATACTAGCAATTGTAAGAGAATCCGATTCGATCCCATATGCCCCCATCTGCGAATACAAATCAACAGCTTCACTTGACAATGAATTGTTCACAAAAACCGAAAGCATCTCATTCCAAGAAACCTCTCGTTTGAGCAAACTTCCAAAACATATATTATCATTGGAAGTGTTGGTCACTGCTGGTAAAAAAAGGCTACACATAGTCCCAGCATCGGGTTTTATCCTCAAGAACTCATTTCCCTACAAACATCCAACGCTTGATCAAAGCATTCATTTTGAGCATACCCACAAACCATTGAATTCAAAGAAACATCTCTAATTGGCATTTCGTTGAGCTTTCGACGTGCTTCGACCAAACATCTACATTTGCTGCCCTGTAAAAATTCAAGTCAAGACCAACTTTAACCACAGCACTATGGAATTGCAAACCGACCCGCATTTTATCTGACTCAGAACATGCCTTTAAGACACATTAGTGAGTATAGTGATCAGGGCGCAAATTATCTTAATTAATAAGTTAACATCCAACTCAGACGATCTTCAATTGTTTAACAAAAAAATACAAGTTTGGAACATATGAATAGTCGGTGACCATTTGTAATGTTTAATAGTCGAGAAATTCAACAAAACAACATCCTATAGTCAGAGAACCATTTTGTAACTTTTAATAGTCGAAGAACTCAATAAAGCAACGACCTACAGTTAGGGACCATTTGTGTACTTTACCCAAGCAAATAAAAGAAGCTCTTATTCCACATATGGGAGGGGGGGGGGAAGAATAGACATCTTATTTAACGTTTAAGCTTGTGGGTGTGCATGAAATTAACCATATGGACGGTTAATCAAAGGCACACAAGTTATATAACTACTTCACAAACAATCAGAGACTGATTAAGATAAAACCAGTCTGGTTAAATTTCGTTAAATAGAGTATTCATGGCAACAAGCAACTTCCTTTCGAGGGGCTCGGCATCGTTCCCAGTATAAAGTCGACTTCCTTTCTTATCACATGTCATCTTCAAACAAAGCCTTTGAGACAGGACCATGAGGGTGAACTCTGCTATCTCCATGGTCTTCTTCATCATCAATGGCATTTCCGCAGAGGCTTGGCCGCTTCTTTCCCGTCATTGGGGTCTCACATACCGTGTCATAGATTGCCTTGCTTCGTCTTTTCCTTTTGATAGTTTTAGAAGATTATCAGACTTAGTTTGCATTGCCTTCGGTTGCTTTGGAGCCCAAATTCTCTGCAAATCTGGCACCCAACTCGTAAAAGATGAAAAGCGCCTAGCCCTCTCCCTCCTCTCCTGAGCCTGAATCAGTTTCAGTTCATGCTCTCGGTCCTCATTACCAGTGGACTTGTTTCGTTATCATATTTCTGAACTTGGGGGACTCCTCTTCTATTGAAACTGGTTCATTATTTTGGGAGTGTACATCTTCCTCTGGTTTCTCTTTCCAGGATCGGTTACTGTCCTCGCTGTTTAGTAAATGATTAGGCGATTCATCCTCTTCATTAAACGCAGCAAATCCATCTTTGCTTAGATTCTATCGACAACATCTCCGATAGAGATAGAATACCTGAAATTATATGTTCCAAAATTCATTTACCTATGATTATACTTGGAACTTCTCTAGAAAGCAATAATTATTTAGCATCAGGTTTTTTCCACTCCTCTGTTCAAATATTTAGCAATATTATATGTACCTGCTCTTTATGATTTTCTCCACATACTTGTCAAGCCTCCAATCACCAAAAAAGCCACCCTCAAGATGTCACTGAGGCTCCTGGATAATTGCACCGACTTTGGACTGAAGAATCTCCATACGAAACAAATCTGCAATTCATATCTTAGTCTTATTAAGGAAATGTGTGGAGCCGAGAGCAAGGAGTTCACTTTCTATGAGCAAACGAAGAATCATTGCCAAGCATTGAACAGAGAACTTATTGTCATAAGTGATATAAAGAAATAGTGATTCTTAAGGATATGAAGGGGAATAAAAAAGGATACTCTCTAACTACACTAACTGAAGCAGATTTAGTAGACCTTGAATCCGATGCCTGCGATGATGGATCCTTCCTTTTATGCATTGCAGTCAGTCCTTCGGTTCCCTCAATAGAAGTTCGATTACTTCCCAGCACTTCGCTAGCACAAGCATCACTAATTTTCACCGGAGAGGTTTGACTGTCCGTAACTGCTTCCATCTCATGCTTTTGACATAACCAATAAATAGATGAACGAAACTTCTCCAGA